GCAGCAATACGGGTTAGTTGGGGAGCAGGCATGTCAGCAAATTGGGGATCGGCTACATGTGTATGGTCAAGCGGGTTAAAGTCTGGGACTTCAGTCAGTTCACCGGCGGCTAAGAGTTGAAGTATATCCGCCTTGTATGCAGTGTGGATCAGGATGGTGGAGATGTTGCGAGCAGGAAAAGTGACATCTAGAATACGTTTGCTATCGATGCCGATGGCAGCGAGGGTAGCACGATATTCGGTGTGAGACATACGATGAGCACGATGGAGGTGCAGAACAGTGTAGTTGGAATTTTCAGTGGCAGGTTGAGGAGGTTGGAGTGTACGGAGAGCATGTTCGCGGCGGCGCTTGTTAGAGGCAGCGGAGGGACGTTTGAGGACTTGGCTCCACTGGGGTGGGTTGTTGCGGGGTTGTTGAGCCTGAGCCTGAGCCTGAGCGGCAGGGACCACAGGTGTAATTGGGATAGCGGCGATGGGGGGTTGAGCAGTTACGGGTGCAGGAGAGCGGATAAGCTTCTCGAGATTGTTGATGATGGAGTGAAGATCATTTACTTCTTCTCGGAACTGAGCGTTCAGGGCTTGCTGGGCTTGTTGAGCACGTTCGAAAATGTCGAGACGGGAGTGTAAGGCTTTCACCGACTCGACGAGAGCCTGGATGGTGGTTTGATCGATCACAATGTTTGACATGCTGATCAAAGTTGCAATGTTTGTTGTTACTATCGCTTTTTCAGGGATTTTTCTTACAGTGGTGATTCAAACTATGTAAAAATTTGAAAAGCGGAAGAAAGGTGTATAACATAATAAATGTTTTTTTTATTTTTTTTTTTTTTTTTTTTTTTTATAAGGAAGTGAGCACTTCTGTTTTTATTTAAAGTCCTTAAATCGTCACCTAATATAGAGGGAGGGGATATAAAGACTGGAGGATATCAGGGGAAGCTCAGATTATTGTATCGAAGGAAAGTTGGGAGTCTAAATTGAGGAGAGTACGATGAATGGAGTGGATGACAGTAGATGGGATGAAAGGGACGTGCTGGAAAACTTGGCGGTAATGAGCAGACCAGATAGCCTGTTGGATGCAAGCAAAGACCTGGAACACGGATAATGCAGGAAAAAGTTCATGAGATGAGCGGTCGATATCAAGGCGAAGGTGGAGGATGGCAATGTATTCCTCGTACGCAAAGTAAGAGAATCGAGGTGAGAGGTAAAGAGAGAGAGTTTGTCGCCAGACGTCCAATTTTCGAGGACAGGAAAAGAGGAAGTGCTCAGTATCTTCGATGATAGTGGGGGTTGTGGATGACGAAGACTGACAGTGAGGACAGTACGGGGTAAATGAATCGCGAAGCCGTTGATGTAATAATTGACGAGTAGTAACTTTTTCATGAAGGATCCGGAACCAAGTATTGCGAGCATTCAAAGGAATCTGGAGAGTCCAAAACTGCTTCCATTTGGCAACACCTAAAGGGGACGAATAAGAGGAAGGGTTAGTGTGAAGGGGGAGGGATTTGAATCCTTGATTAGTAGGGAGGGATAAAAGGAATGAATGAGACTCAAAAGAAAATGAAGTTGCCAATAAAGAGAGTAGAAGGGTGGATACGAGGCTGATACTATCGGAATAGTTGGTGATGGTGGAGAGGTCGATATGTGTGATGTTTGGACGAGGGACAAGGAGCAACATGTTGAAGTGAATGAAGTTGGTGAGCAGTAGGTTTTGAGCCTGAAGAAAATTGATAGCGCGTAAGCTGGTGGGTTGGTGGGGTAGGCCGATGACCGAAGTGCGAAGTTGAAGAGCTTGAGTGGTGGTATCAAAGATGAAAACATCATTACCTGTAAGTTGAAGCACTCTGGGGTAGTGTTTTACCACTTCCTTTGGTGAGCGAAATGTAGGCGATAAGCTATGGTTGGGTGGAAGGTTATGTTCAACCAAGGTCGAAAATGGCAGGCGTAGACAAGTACTGAAGGAAACATGACAGACACCAAACTTACGAACAATGGTATCTACGGCGCGAAGAATGTTGTAGAGAGGAGCGATGACCTTTCTGGCGCTTGATGGCCTACAGGCAGGAAAGAGGAGAGACCAGTGGTAGGTGGGGTATGAGGGAGTAGCGAGGATATAACATAATAAATGTTCAGTACTTTTGCACTTTACAACCCTAATATGGAACCTGAGTTTCAAGGCATCTATCAGACCTGGCTCATATCATAACATAATAAATGTTTTTTTTTTTATAAGGAAGTGAGCACTTCTGTTTTTATTTAAAGTCCTTAAATCGTCACCTAATATAGAGGGAGGGGATATAAAGACTGGAGGATATAAGGGGAAGCTCAGATTATTGTATCGAAGGAAAGTTGGGAGTCTAAATTGAGGAGAGTACGATGAATGGAGTGGATGACAGTAGATGGGATGAAAGGGACGTGTTGGAAAACTTGGCGGTAATGAGCAGACCAGATAGCCTGTTGGATGCAAGCAAAGACCTGGAACACGGATAATGCAGGAAAAAGTTCATGAGATGAGCGGTCAATATCAAGGCGAAGGTGGAGGATGGCAATGTATTCCTCGTATGCCATAGTAAAAGTCTTCATTTTCAAGGTGAAAAACGCGATCGTTTGATTTTCGATGAAAACCATGAGGGGTACCTCATGCTTTTTGGTCGATTTTTGGCCATTTTTTATTTTATTTTTTTGGTCCTCAAAAAGTTGAGCGAAGGTGTCAGGAAGTTACTATAACTCGAGTACAACTGTTTGGCATCATTCCGGTGGCTCAGAAAGACCTGCATATCAAGGTATGAAGGTTTGAAAGCTGTCAAATTTGGTTATATTTTGCTTTATAGCTTTTATTTACACGGCATGAATTACATCTTTGGTAGCGGAAACCTTGTGGAAGGGCAGTTCTGCAGCCTGTGCAATTTCTAATTCGAATAGGAGTCAAATTGGCTTTGGTAAAGCTGATTCATGCAAACTTAATGCGTTATGTTGTGTTAAGCTCATAAATGACAGAAATGAACAGCCGAATTTGCTGCTTGAACACTAAGGTTCTGCACGTTTGTTTCGCTACGGTGAAACCCTCTTATAAGCCAATGCTACAAAATGTTGAATTAAATGCATTGTGTTCTTGGTGGAGGGACCAAGTTTCTCCCCAAAACCCTCCCCAATGCTGGCTTTACCGGTGGTTTACTCACCTTGTACAGCACTCAATTCTTTAAATTTTGAAAGTATTATATGGTTTTTTTTTTATGTTTTACAGAAGTTTGGCTGAAGCTGGCATATTGGGTGCTGTAGATCCATGAAAACTAATGCTACATGTTCTTGTAAAATCTCAAACAATAGGTAATCCTTGGTTCTACGCAATGAGCACTGTTACAGGTAAATTGGTGCAGAGGTATGACATGCTCTCCTGTGAAAACCTTCAAAATATCTGAAAAGACAAGCCAGATGTGGAACCGCTTTTAAGCGTGGTGCGATTCGATTCGCATCTCAGTTCTGTGCAAGCTCACTACCAGCTGGAAGCAATGTTCGCCATCAAAAATAATATCTCCAAGTGATTAAAAGGTCCAAGTATGCCTAACTTCTGTCATCACGCCAATAGAAAGGCTTAACTGTTTGACTATACGTTGACTATTGACAGCTTTGAATAGGCTGCACAAGCAGTTAATTCGAGTAGACAAGATGTGAGATTATCTCTATTTTTTGATAGTTGTAACTTGAGGTTGCGGCTCATTCTCGTTCTCATTACAGTGCATAGATGCTGGATGTGGCGATGGTCAGTCTCGTTATGAAATCAGATGATGCGCATTGCTAGTTGCACCACTGCAAAACTACAATTTTGTCAATTTTAATCCAATAGTCAAGAACATTTTAAAACAAATATCGAAAGGTATGCTTCTGACAAATCTGCCTCTATTGAGACTAATATCAGAGGAGAAACGAAAACAGAAAGACACTGTGTTCCAATCTTCATACTCAAAATATATCGTCTTTGCAAAGAGCAATACTCAAGATCTATGCAATCTCATGCAATTTGCGCTTAGTCAGATGATTTTGGCATTGTTGAAATGAGAATTGGTTGTGTTTATTTCCTTCCATCAGAAGGATTGATGCCCTGGTTAGCGCAATCGTGAACAAGGTTCATCGTGAAGATGCTTCATAGCATAAAGCCCACCCACATGGCCCAAACAGCAGATCATAGTATACTTAACGCTGCACATTATAAATATCGTACTTCTCAAGTCCCTCAATCATCGCATTGGTTAAAAGCAAAGTTTCACTGCAAGAAGATTCACAGCTTCTTGAAGTACCCTAGTATGTCATTTTCATGTCAGCCTTTGATTTACCAACTTGTGAATACATTAAGTGTGCATTTCGAAAGAGCCATAAATGCAAATTTTCTTACATTGTTCATGTTATATGAATAATGCAGATGTTTATCAACGATTTGTTCAATATTGCTAATTAGCAAGTGCAGGACTAATTCACATGCTGGGACCAATAGGTGTCATTTTAGCCTCAATGCTCCGCAAATAATGATTACCAACATTTTCTCACGATGATATTCACTTAAATGTGGGGATGGAAACGGATCAAATGTCATGAGACCTTGTGTGTGAGCCATACTCTACTATTTATCTTGGCTGATTTGCATTGATCTATTCTGAGTGTCTACTAATGCTTGATCTGAATGAAACTTATAATTCACACAAGTTTTATCCAATTTTTGATTGCTCCAAATGCATTGTTACACATCGTGGAAAAAAAAAGGTACCAGGTTCAAACTTGCTTTGTCATATAAGGTTAAATTTGGGAAAATATTCCTAATAATCACAAGACGAAAGAGCACTTGTTAAACACAGCAACTGGTGTTGGATTGTTTTGATGGAGAGAGTGCAAATCATAAAGTTCAAATAAGGTTGATTGGTTTAATTCAATGCAATGTTCGCCGCAAAACGGCTTGCAAATTAGTATAAATAAAAAATCCGGGGTATCTTTACCAGCCCATAAATAGAAAGCTCAAACAGCACACAGGGGAGCCAGTCCACTGCTGAAATCAAGCACCATGATACGTTTTTCCTGTCCAGAACTATAGAGCAATAGGTTATTATGTGTTTGATTACACAAAATGAAAATACTTACCTCACAATCCGTGTACCACTGGATAATACATTGAAAATCCAATTGGAATGACCACTCTGAAAGCTTAGAATACAAGCACCCGTCTTTGTATCCCATACTTTGAGAGTACGATCATAGCTACCAGTGACAATTCTTCCATGGATGCAATCCAGCGAGCGAATCATACCAACATGACCCAGCAAGGTATTGATACATTTCCCACTCTCCACATCCCACACCTTGATCTTGCCCTCTAATCCACCGCTGTACAAATGCTTTCCGTCATATCGAACACAGGCTAGCCCAAGACGATGTCCTTGTAGGGTTCTAATACATTCGCCTGTTGCAACATCCCACAATTTCAACGTAGCATCACCTGATGCCGATACCACACGATGCTCATCCACAGTCTCTACCGCATTCACAGAATTGGTGTGTCCCAGCATGTGCAATATCTCTTCACCCGTGTCCTGGTTCCATAAGCGCAATGTATGATCTCTGGATGCGGTTACAATGCGGTTTCCATGAACAAAGCAGACATCCAGCACACTGTGTCCATGACCACGAAGCTTACGTATGGGTGCCAAATCAGGTAAAGACCATATGGTGCAAGTAGCATCCGAGGAACCTGTCAGTAAAAGAGAGCGATCCTTGTTCACACGCATACACAGTATACTGCCATCATGCTCATTCTCTACAGTTCGAGTACATTGATTTGTCTTGACATTCCACACCTTGAGCGTCTTGTCTCGACTACCACTGACCAGCGTGTCTTGATCAATCCAAGACAAACAGTAGATGCTGTCTGAATGTCCCTGTAAAAAGCGGGTATCCACCTTTCCCGTCAACCAGCGACGTCCTAATTTAAGGTGGTTTTGGTACAGTTTTAAATTGGTAGAGGAGGTGGAGGGTGTCACCAGAGCCTTGTTGTTCTTGCGACTGGTCTTTTTATACAGTGATGTCGATGCTGGTGTAGATGGTGGTGGTGCTACTGACTGGAAATCTGCCAGTAGCAGTTTCCGCCATAGTCCATCATCATGGCAAACTGAATACATGTGCTTGCAAGTACGAGCTAGTTTTTGAACAGATGTGTAGTCTAGATAGAACAAAATGCTTGATAGTATCTCCACTGGGAGCGATACAAATGATGTTTCTATATAAATGTGAGGTCAGTGGATTGTGCGATATCCGACATGTCATTATGATTTACTTGATATATCCAAGCTGTTTGAGCGTGAGCTGTTGCTGCCAGCATAAACTGAAGATGGGCGACGATTGAATGATCCACGACGCACTCGAAACTTGGGCAAAATGTTGGTAGATGATACAAGCAGCTTTCTTTTTAGAGGAGTCAATGCCGATGCATTGTATTGTGGATTTAAGCACTTTGTCTTGGCTGTAATGCCGTCTTTTCTTGGTGAAATGGCAATATACGTTGGGATGTAGGAGGTGGGATCATTCTTGTCGATCAATCTCTTGTGATTCTCTTGAGCATACGGCGAAAACATGAGCGCATAAGCCATAATGTAAAATTGAGTATAAAGAAAAAAAAAAGAAGAGGAAAGAAAAAAAGAAAAGTACTCTCTCTCTCTCTATATATATATTACAGCATAATAGCAGGTGAGTGTGTGAATGTATTGCTGTGTGGCTCCAAGCAGGAATAACCTTATAGGATCGGATCTGAAGATGAGCGGTTGATGAGAAGGGGGAGTTTAAGACACCGCTACTTCTCCTGGCAAAACCTTCATTTACCCCGCATCCTGTCGAAGTTTAGTACCACAATGACGCTTTCTAGCTTGTGATTGTGCTACAATGAAACACAATGTGAATGGTCAAGCTCCGTGTATTATGTATATAAGCGTTTGTATGGGTTTTGGGAGCCGAGCAGCTGAGTTGGTGTACTAATTGACTGTTCATGGGCAATTATTTAAACCATCAGCCTTTATTTGCAGCAAGGAGTTTATGCTGTAATGAATGGGAGCTGAGGCATCGTGTGTGAGTTGTGTTAATAATTGATAACATTGGAAGATGCCGAGGATTGTAGCTTCACGAGAGACAAAAGTTATCAATCATTGATTCTGTTTGAGTTTTTGGCCTGTAATGAATAGCTACCTAAAAGTAATGTCATTGGAAGTCGAAACTTATCCAATATCAATCATTACAATTCATGCCATCAACAAGGAAGGCAATCAGTGCATCAGTGTCAAGACGATTCAGGTGTAATTGCCAGTAAGGTGCCGGTTCATTTACTTCCGGCTATCCCTTACTCCATTTGATGCAAGAGAGAGTCAAATAATGGATCAATCAGATTAAATATGTTGTCAGTGTTTTGAAACGCTGTTGGGTAAAAGATACTCTTTGCTGATAAAACCGTTCAATTGTTCAGGTTCATCTGTTGTGGAAACGTTACCTAGAAGCCGCGATGCAACATCAGTAATTCCCAATCACCTTCTCTCGCATCCCTATTTTGCTTTCTATCCATGTTGTATATGTATACAAGACGTATACTAAACGAAGAAAGTGAAGAAAGAGAGAGAGAATCAATTGACTGATTAAATATTGTTGCTGATCCGTTAGCCCTTGCTCCTGTGAGATGCTTAGACGCTGTGGTGTCAATTTTATCCGCATGAGAGCTAATGCTCAGTGAGCACCTTCGTCTATTTTATTGCTTTATTTCGTATAAACAGTGCCTTTATTAATTTAAAGACCATTAAACCAAACGTAAAATGGAAGCATTACATGCAATTCTTCATAAAATGTCAACTTACACTTCACATTACACAAATTTGAAAGTTCAATTTGCACGCATAAACACTATCAAGTATAGACATTCGTAAAAAAAAAAAAAGGTAAGGTGTGGTGCCAAATCTAAGCTTTAGTACGATTCAATTTATAATTCCCTTCTTATTGGCTTCAAAACGACGATTGCCTTCGTAATAGAAAAGTATTAAATTTGCCAGCCAAAATCAATTAAACCCCCGCTAAAATTCTGTTTTAGATTGGCCAAGTTCTGTTAACTTCGACTTGACCGAACTATTTTGCCAAATTCGACTATAAGAATATGATGATCACCCTATGCGTCTTTAAGCTTTTTTGGAGTGCTTTTCAAGGCGCATACAATGGTACCAAGTTATATAAATGTTTTGAATAAACTTATTGAATGATGTGTAGAAACATGAAAAGAGCTTTTTGACAGAAATATCGAAATTTTACATATCAAAGTCCCACAAAGATGGTTTCAGAGGTTGCTGTTGTATTCAAAGATACAGTATTAACAAATTAAGATAGATTTCAAAAAAGGAAGGCTATAAAAAGTAACCAGATACGAAAACTTCTAAGATTTATTAACTGATTCAAACACATCCTATTTATAAGAGATCATTACTGATGAATCATCAATCTATCTTGTTGTTTTAACTGAGTCAATACATCGTATCATGTTTATCTAATATCAGTCAATTGAAGAATCCGATTCGCTCAATCAGCCATGATGATACGATCTGTAGCCATCATTATCCTTCACTATCAGAGACCATCATAATCGATTATATGATTCACTTCTGTGTCGAACCTAATGTCCTAATGTAGACAGTGAGAAACAATGTAAATCATGATCCGACTCTTGCTGAGTTACTGAATGTCCGCAACCGCTACAGACTCAACAGCCCCCAACCAGGATCAGGATATACCATTGTTACATACCATAATCTCTAATTACAGCACATCATAAATAACGATATTAGATAACATACAAATACAATATATATACAATATTCCACCAAAATGATATGGGCAGCATCCGTCATTAAAAAACCTTTAAAAACCTCTGAAAGGACAAAAATATACAATAAGGTAAAAAGACTAGATCAGACATCATACCATTCAGCCATTAAGACCGATTCTTAGCTGGTCTACCACGTTTCTTCTGAGGACGAGTAGCAGCCTTATTCTGATTTACTGTTGCAGGAGCAATCTTGCGCTTGCCAACAGCCTTTGCACCATTCCTTCTACCCCAATATAATTCAATACATTCAGTAGAGTTGAAATGTTCAATAGGTTCCCAAGTAGGTTCATCAAATCCTTTCCACTGCACCAAGTATTTACACTTGCCCGGTGAGCCTCTATGGTTGATAACCGCTTGAACCTCTTGATGTTCGCGAATGAAGTCCTCTTTAGAAGTTAGCGTAGCATTAGCCGCAGCATTATACACTAATTTATGCGTAGGTACATCATAACTCAGGAGATTACCTGTACGATCCATCAGAACGTACGAGCCTTTGCTAGTAATTCCGTTGATCAAATAGGGACCCTCATATCGAACATCCAACTTGTTGCTCTTATTCTCATTCACTACCATCACCTTACTCCCAACGGGATAAGGCTTCTCGATGATCTTGTGCTTCTTAGCAAAATTGGCATGATCCTTCTTCTGAGTCTCTAAAATACGTTTCGAGATAGCTGGAATAAGAACATTTTGAACGAAGCTATACTTCTCATCAATCTTCTTCTGATCCACTACATCGTAACTACGAGTCAAGTCTACCTTTGAATAATCCGTCAAACCATTAGGTTGGCGATTAAACAGAATCGTATAAGGACGAGACTTGTGCAATCTAGCATACTTGACATTCAGACAATAATTAACCCAAGGAATATAGTGTTCCCACTGATCACGTTTTCCTTTAAGCAACTTAACTGTTGTCGACTTTGCAAGTTTAATCCAACTCTCCGCAACACTGTTACCCAACGGGTTCCATGCTAACGAGAGACGTCTGTCAATACCACTGATCTCGACCATAGCTTCTACAACCTCATTGATGAATTCCTTTCCTCTATCAGATGTCAAGATCTTTGGCCAACCGAAAAGAGAGAAAACCTGAAGTAATTCACGAGCGATAGTAGTAGCATGCTTATCTGGAATGCAGCGAATGACCGTAAATCGACTATAAATATCCGTCATTACGAATATGAAGTTGCTACCGAATGAACTTGTGACACCCATATCACCAAGATCCATACACCAATGATCCAAAGGTTGATCAGCTTTGGCACTTCGGAAAGGATGATAACCTTCTCGAGCAATGTTGAACTTGTTACATTCAATACAATCCCCCAAGATACGTTCAATATCCTTACGAATGTTAGTCCAATGGAATCCTTCATGATGAATAGCAGTTTCAACATGGTTGATTCCGAAATGACCGACCAAATGTTGAGAAATAATCATATTATCTCGTTCAGTAGCAGGTGGGGTAACATAATCGCGAAACTTCATAGTACGTAAAATTAACTCTTGTTGTTGCTTTGACGAGGCAGCTGATGAGGTGCTAGCTTTCATCGAAGAATGCTTCACATCAACCAGGCCATCATCACCAATACTAGTATCCTTTCGTAAAACACGAGTAATTCGAACAGGAATACGTTTCATTTGAACAGTTGGTGTGGTAGATTTCAACTTAGAACCCATCTTTCTCTTCTGCTTCAACCTTTCACCTCCATCAGCATAGTACCTGCCCCCCAGAAGATGGCGTGCGGAAGCATCGTCATCTTCATACAGCCGAGATAAAGCATCAGGAATGACATTCAAAACACCAGGTAAGTGAACAATGTCAAAAGTGTAAGAAAAGATGTTCTCCCACCACCCAAGCATCAACGCATTAGGAATCTCTTGCGTATTCAAATAGATCAAACTCTTGTGATCCGTATGCAGGGTAAACCGTCTCATATACAGAAACCGATGAAACTTTTCTAATGAATAACAAATTCCCAAAAGCTCACGTTTCGTAGTACTGTAATTGCGTTCAGAAGGAGAGAGTTTACGCGATACCAAACCAATATACCGAATTTCATTCTGAATCACTTGGTACAACAAACCACCAATTGCAGTGAGACTAGCATCAGTAGCTAAATGAAATCGACATGAGAAATCAGGGGTGGACATAACCAACGCATTGGTAAGTGCATCCTTCAAATTTGCAATAGCTCTGTCATGTCTTGCCGTCCAGACCTTCGACAAATCTTTACACTGCTTCAACGAGTCGAGATCACCCGTTAAGCGAGAATACATCGGAATAGAAGATCGGAAATAGGACATCAGACCCAGAAACGAAGCAAGCTGTTTACCAGTCTTAATAGGAGGCCACTGCATGATATTGGTAAGTTTTCTTCCATCAGGGACTAACTTGCCATCAATTACACTCCATCCTAAAAGGTAAATGCTTCTCTGAGCAAAGACTACCTTCTCTGGATTCAAAACCAGATTAGCCTTTGTCAAACGACGAATCACTTCAGCAACAAGTTTAAAGTGATTTTCCAAGCTACCCGAGGTACTACAGATTATATCATCAACGTAGCAGAACACTGACTGGTCATCCTTGGTAGAATTGGGAGTAGCAGCATTGGACGTATTCAGATCTGACAACAGATTCTGCAATGTACGAACAACTACTGAACCAACATGACGAATACCGTACGCAGCCTTCCGAAAGGTGTACTGAGTATTGCTAAACGGCGAAGTAAACGA